TTTCTATTTTATCCTATTTCTATTTTATATCGGGACACGCCTGGTATAGCTGTCTGGTTCCTGCCTTCCTGGTAGCTCTCTTGTGTTTTGTGACTGTTGCCTTTGCTGCTGGACAGGGTACAGCGAAGGGCTGTAAAGACAGTTAAGGGGCTAGAACATCTCGCTTATGAGGAAAGGCTGAGGGACTTGGGTCTTTTTAGTGTGGAGAAGGGAAGACTGAGGAGGAGGTCTTATCAATGCTTGTAAATACCTGAAGGGTGGACGTTCAGGAGGATGGGGCCACTCTTTTTTAGCAGTGTCCAGTGGCAGGGCAAGAGGTAACGGGCACAAACTTGAACACAAGAAGTTGCTTCAAAACATGAGGAGAAACCTCTTTACTTGAGGGTGGCAGAGCACTGCAACAGGCTGCTCAGAGGGGTGATGGAGTCTGTCTCTGGAGAGATGTAAAGCCTGCCTGGACACCATCCTGTGCAACCTGATTTAGGTGAACCTGCCCTTGCAGGGGGGTTGGACTAGATGATCTTCAGAGGTCCCTTTCCAACCCTTATCATTCTGTGATGATTCTGTACATGTTTGCCTCTCGCCAGCCTGGCTATGGCATGATTGGTGCTGGATAGCCCTATTTTACAAGGAGATTCTCTCATGCTGACTCCCTGTTCCAGTCCTGTGGTTTACACAGCTGAGTCAGGGAGATTAAAAGCAGACCTGAACGTGGCTGGTTGAAGCATTTCACAGAATTATTGAGGCTGGAAAAGACCAGCCTTAATAATTCTGTGAGATCTTGAGATCATCAAGTCCAGCCTATTTCATCCAGTGCATGTGTCTCTGTATCCCAAAGTTTTTCTTTTGATGTGTTGCAACATCAAAGCAAGTATCAGTTAGTCTTACAAAAGGGATAGAAGGAGAATTCAACAGGTCTTAGTTGTGCTTAACAATGCATAGCTGGGTGGGAGAGAGTCGTCAGCTTTAATATTAGTTCAAGTCTTCTACTGTTTGGCAATCTGTTTTGCCCGTGACTCATGCAAGGCTGGCATAGAAAGCTCTCCCTAATTAAACAGAATAAATAAGGTAATGGAGTATAATTACTTATGGTGAAGAACTAAGTCAAAAAGATGACACCTGATGTGGGTCACACAACTCTTTGGTAGGTCATTTATACTTGGAGAATTATTGCCTTTCTTAGGTTTGATCAGCTCAGTTAATAATGCGATACACAGAAGCAAGTGACTCTGAACGGAAGTTATAATCTGCTCCTTGTTTGGTTAACTCTGGTTGTATAAAGACCTGATTAACAGGTCTCTAGCAAAAACAGCTGCTGGAGTATGAGTTAAATTTATACCTTCACAGGTGTGTGTGTATATACCTTCTACACTTCTCTGTATTGTGTGTATGAAACAGTTGGTTTGATTCAAAGAAATCTTGTGGACGTTGTGGGGTAAGGTCTCATCCTCCCACTGTTGGATACAATTTTACTGCCACCCTGAAGTAACTTTTCCAGGTAATGGGGATATGAAAAACGAAGCTGCAATATATGAATTTTGAAGTGCTTGTAGCTGTGCTGTGTTTCCAACAGAATGACATTATTAAAGTGTTAAATCTGAAATGGAGATAATAATTTTGATACTGATCAGAAACTAGTTATGTTATTTTTGTTAAAATAACATGTCTGCTTGCTTGTTGCCAGGCACTGGATGACCATAACTAAACAATGTCTGTACCACGTGGAGCTGTCCATGCAAAATGGATAGGAGGGAAAGTAATAGGAACCAAAATGCAGAAAACTGCCAAAGTGAGAGTGACAAGACTTGTGCTAGATCCTTACTTGCTAAAGGTAAAAGCTGGTTAGTAACTTGGCTTGCATGTGGTAATTTTTGCACTGTGTGAAGCACTCTTTTATTGATTTGACTGTGAGAATTTTTGATAGCTCTTTAAAAATGTAAATTTGTACAATGATTTGGCTGAAAAGCAGTGTGTTGTGAGGACACTTCCTTACAGATTAGCTGCTAAATGTATTTTTTTGGAAGTGCTTTATTAATGTACTTTATTTAATATAAGTTGAAAAGGTAAGTTTTTGTTGTTTCACACTTTAATTTTTCTTACTGATTTGGAGTATGCTTTGGTTTGGAAACTTGACATTGTATTAGTCACTATTACAATAAATTTTGTAGCAGTTTTTATGTATGTGTAACTGTAAAAAATACTTAGTACTTGAATCTGTACTGTGGTGTGCTATACGAGCTTTGTATTCATTGCTGCTTGTGATGCATTTCAGACAAGGAGGTTAAAACTAGTATTTTCTCCATTTTTAAATAGGCAAACTGTGGTACAAGTAGGTGGAAAAACTTGCCTTTGATGGCCAGAAGGTTAAGGATAGAGTCAGGATTAGGTAATGGGTCTTGTGAGTTCCAGCTCAATACTTCATCCCGTAGAAGAATCTGTTAATTTCTTTCTTAAAAGGAAGATTCTGAATTCTGCTGTTCCAGTGAGAATAAATATTGAAATTTTCTATGAAAGAAAATGAATTGAGCAAGAAAACTTTCAGATGGCAAACTTCAAAATACTGATTCTGGGGCTGATGAACTTTAGACATATTAGGATGAATAAGAGTTAATACCAGTTTTTGAAGTGTGGACTGCACAGGAAAGTCGTTCAGCTGGGAAGAGCCAAGGCAGCTGTCTTGCTGAAGCAGCATCGGTGTGAAGCATCCTGAGGGGAAAGGCTTACACAGCAGAACTAGAGAGCAGAGAGGCCAGTGCAAAGTGGAGATGCCAGGAAAGGGAGTCTATGTTAAGTGAAGAGCGTGTTGTTTTTATCTGTATCTGCTTGTACTTGGCTGTTTTCCTTCCCCATCTCCTTTTCTACAGGCTCGATTGGCAACAACATCCTGACCAGAGAGATTGTCAGGGAAGGGTAGCGCTGTGCTTTCTTTGGAAAAACGGTGGAGTGCACAGTTGTGTTTTTCCTCATGAGCCAAACTTAATCCCATTTAAAAAAAAGACTTCGTAGTAAAATCTAGTTTGGTTTATATTAGCTGTATATTTTCCAATTGCTACATTTTGAAATCTAATGCCAAGGTTTCCTTTTTTCCTTCTACAGTTCTTTAACAAACGAAAAACCTATTTTGCTCATGATCCGTTGCAGCAGTGTGTTGTTGGCGACATTGTTCTTCTGAAAGCTTTGCCTGAGCGAAGGAGCAAACATGTGAAACACGAACTGGCTGAAATTGTTTTCAAGGTTGGAAATGTCATAGATCCAATAACAGGAAAGCCCTGTGCAGGAACCAGATTTCTTGAAAACCTGTCAGATTCAGAAAATCTGACAGAGGCAGATACTACCTATCTAAGTGAAAAACTTCAGGAACTTAAAGTTTGTTCAACAGACAAATAGCAGGGCAAATATTTAAGCAGAGGGCTTCTCAGCTTGTCTCTGTCGGGATGTCTGGAGCCTTGCTGTTATATTAAATATTTCAGTAAAATCTGTAGTCATAAAAGTAAATGTAGTTGCTTATAAGAACAGATGTTACAGATTGATAGGCACCTCAAATCTTTAAACGAAAATACAGAGAAAATGTGAGTTTAGTGTTAATGCTTCATTTTGTTGCATGTAGTTTTACTGCAAGCCTTGACACTTGCAGAAGCCAAGTTCTCCCTTTAGATGACTCTTCTGTATTGAGAAAGACAAGAATATGCCTATGAATTTTTGTGGGAGGGTCATTATATTATTTGATTGTTCTGTATTTCAGACAGTCTTTTGTGGTTTGTAGGATTACTTGAAGATAATGCTATTAAACCTTTTGAAAAGAAGTGTAGAATTTTAAAACCAGCTACCTGCATCTGTCCTTATTTCCTCTTGCAGTCACTCATGCCACATTGCAGTACTTTCTAACTTCCAAAATCTCTAATGAAAACACAGCCACACACTTTTATAATGGAAGAAAGGTGCAAATAAATTTGGGTAGCTTGGCGTGGTTCCCTTTCTGACCTATATAAAGGAAGTATTTTTTTCTGGGAGTGATGGATCTCTTTGAATTGCCAGATGGACATAGAAGCTGTTGGAAATACAAAGCCAAAAACGCAGAAGATGGTTAGATTTAGTCTCATCAGAAAAGCTGATTAAAGCAACACATTTTGGGAGAGATACAGGTACTAATTTGCTGTGTACTTTAACAGGAAACTAGGAAGGCCATCGTTAATGATTAAAGATCACACTATCCTGCTGCAGCTCTGGAGATTTGGTGTCCTGTCTTCCAGGACATAAAGCAAACCATGAGTGTGCAGCTGTTACAGCAGCCGAGTTGCTGACTTCTTTCAGATCTAAAAACCCAGTGTTTGTGGGGACAGCATTCCATGTCCCTGTATGGAGGGGAGACTGGTATGTTGAAGCTGTGAAAAACCCTTTTTGAAGTGTCTACCTATGTCATTCATCTTTAGATCAGAAGCTAAACCAGGTGTATCTGAACAGAGTTCCTCTGACCTAAAGTATCTTTCTTTAAGAGACTGAGCCATCTTACACCAGTAGGTGATCGGTTGTGTTCTCTTCTGTTGCCAGTGTTGTAATTCGTTTGCCCTTTAACTTCCTTCAGCTGCACAGAATCAGTTTCATCTGCCTGCAAACAGTTAACAAAATCCAGTTGTACCCAGCAAATTATCTGGGCTGGGAAGAATGAGAAATATTTTTTTCTTTAGTGTTTCAAACAAAAAAATACTGGTCTTTGAATACCAGTCCTCAGCCACCATCGTGCATGTCAGACCAATAATCTGGGGTGTCAAGACACTGATTTAAGTGTCTCTCTGTAAACCAATAATGTTCATGGGGGTCTCTGAGGAAGGGCTGTAGGTTGTTCTTGTTGATAAGTCAGTTGAAGTGGTTTAGGTTTATGTAAATTACTTGGTAACTGAAGCTGGCTGGTTAAGGCACTCACTCCTGCTTGAGCAAATGTAAAATGTGAAACTTCATCCCTGGCAGAGATTGAGAGAAATCAGACCTGGGCTGCAGGAAATAGGCTGGAGTTGTATCCAGGCAGGCACTAAATGAACCTGACCCGCAGTGCTTGGGGCAGAAGCGTGCCAGTAACCAGATGGGTAACGCTTGTAAGAAACAAAACAAGTTTCCTGCCTGGTTAGCGAGTTGCATCTCTGTCTAGTTGGGGAATGAATTTTCTCCCTGTATTTCCTGTGGGTGGTTTTCCTCAGTAGCTGTGAATATATTGTATTTGTTCTAAGATCGATGGATCACAGGGTGTCAGGGTTTTTTCCCGTTTACGGGTAGGCTCTCAGAGGGTTGCTCAAGAGCTCAGTGTGCTGCCAAATGAAAACATGATTAAATGTACCTGGTCTAAAGTGTAACTTCTTTTTAGAAGAATGACGGCAATTGTAGGTTAAACTGGTTTAAAGAGGTATCCCGCACTTTGTGCTTTGGCTCTGTGTGCGTAGTGTGGACAGGAAAGCCATGGCATGCTGGAAACTGTGTAAGGAAATGATAGAAACCTTTTAGATGCTGTGTAGAAAGACAAGGTTTGCTCATTAACGTGTTTTCTATCTTTATTGGCTAGCTGCTTTTAGAATTGCCCTGTAACTATTAGCCTAGTTACAAGTTTATCGTCAAGTTAAGGATTTGATGGTAGTGCACACCACCGCTTCATCCAAATTACAGTGAAGAGAGCACTTCAGCGGCGCGGGGGCCTGAAAAAATCACTCCGGGGAATAAGAAGCAACTTTTTGCCCGTGATTCTGGAAAAAACCAACAACCCAAAACCCAGCACCCGGGCTCAGGCCAGACCCGGC